ATGCAACTTTTTGCGAAGCCTGCCAAAGACTCTCCTCTTGTTTGCCCATGGGAAAGGTCAATGAGAGCGCGGATTAAAGATATTACCGCAGCAAGTCATGATCCCGGATTCTCGTCATCGCGTCCCGAATCCTGGGTTCAGATCTCCGAGATGGCGTTGTACTCCCCGAGATCTGCCCTTTCCGGATACAAGCCGGTCAACGGAGTTTATTCCCGACCAATCCCAGCGGGTTGATTTTCAATTTCCTGGGGCAGTGCAGGGTGGTTTCCCGCTGATCAGCGACCGGTCCCCACCAATCCACCGCGGGACCTTCTGTTAGATTTGATTGATAATCAACTCGAGATGCATCCATCCACAGCAAAGCAGCCATTCTCATCCCGAAGTGTTAAAGTCGAATCTATTCCGAGGTCAATATTTGAGGTTTTTGCTCCGGTCATTTCATATTCCTGGGTGCGCGTTCCGACGGGGACGGAATTATCTCCGTCCCCTGTATCGGAATCACTGATTCATCTCAAGATTTTTCTCGTCTACGGATACCACCGGAGAAAGCGATTTTGGTGGTTCTTCGCTCTTTTCTCGGCATTATCCGGGGATGGGCGATGCCCCTGCTGCCACCCACACAGTCCAGAGGACAGAGTATGCAACCGGCGCAAGACGAAAAAAACAACAAACGGCCGAGGATGTAGATGCAAACTTCGGAAATTCTCGGAGACTGCAACTGTATGATCGGTCGGAAATATTTTTGATTCAGCTATACGTGGTCGCAAGGGCAGGCAGAGAGGCACGGCCGCTTGGTTTGTGTGTCCTCATCAAATCTCGACCGTCGTGTAGATACGGGACCTCGGCAGCTTTTTCCTTTGTAAATTTGGAATGGTGCATAGGTACTTATTAGGTCACCAAAACATCCTTGGTCTCTAATTCACTGCCCAACTACGAACTCGCTGAGGCGTCGTTGCATGCGTTCATTGGAAAGTGATACAAGCAAGTGGTGCGGACCCGAGCATTCGGGCCCTACCCAAGCCTAGCCGAATGATGCATACAACCCTCGTGGAGGATCATACCGAGTAGTAAAAGGCTCATTTGAGCAAATTAGTTTTTTTTCCTACTTGGTGCTGCAGCTAATGGGACTAGAAATCATGATGATAATGATAACGCGCGGCTAGTGAGTAACATTATGATTCACACTTTCCTTTTTCGCTATTTGGAAAAAATTATGGCGCGCGCGGGACCGAAATTCGCTCCTTGATCAAGTCCCGCATGCCAAGTGCAAGACTCGTCGTCGCGCGCGCTTTCGGGGCGAGGGGGATTGATCGCGTGCCTTGATGCCGGGACCCGAGTATGGTGGTTTTGACCGCGGAGGAATTCCAGGGGTCAGTCGGGCGGTCGGTGCCTGTGGGTTGCGGGTACCACTTCAGTCTCCGGCCGTCGGCCACTTGAGCGTCCGTCCGCGGCGCAATTTGATTTTGCGTTCCATGAAAAGAACGTCGGGGATGAGAAGATGTTGAAGTCCATCTAGTTCGCCTCTTTGAATTTACAACGACGAGCGAGATGCGATGGAGGATGTGAAGATACCCTGCGACGGGAGTCGGCCACTTGCGGTCGGTACCTGGAATCCTGACGAGCCTCAATACGCTGAGCAGGGATGAATCGGATGGGGCTGAGGCTTCTCTTTCGTATTTTCCCCCCTCTCTGAACGGGGCAGCAGTACGAAAAACGCTCGATTGATTCCAGCAGTTTGGAATACGTACGAGCATGTAGACGTTCAACACTTTGATTTCCTTTCCGCGGTCTCCAATAACTTCCCTCTGCGGTCACCGGATCCATAAGTAACGCTAGCTAAAGCACCTCGAGACGCTGTCCAAGCCACACTCATCAGCTTCCACGCGTGTTCCGGACTTAGGGATTATGGTACCTGCACTCGGGTATCCCATTACATACAGTCCCATCCCAACAAGTTACCTCGAGCAAAAGTAGACACCGAAAAGGAAAAAAGCCATTGCTTGCTGCGGCTTGCTTGCAGAATGCTTTGCAATCGCTGATAGAACCCGCGATTGCACCGACGAACCGTCCCGGGCCAATCCGATCCCTATATGTGGGTCCGATCAGGGGACCAGGGTTCGCTTGGCGAGTCTTGACGAGCTGCATCGGCAGACTCCGAGCAGCAGCCAGCAGCGGAAGGAATGATCTAGAATTTTTCTCGAAGTCCTGCACGTTCCCCCCCAGAAAAAATTTTGCTTGGCACCCACGCGGGAGGGGTGCGAGACAGAAGGAGGGGGGAGGGGTCAGCGCACGAGACCCGAATCCCGACCTGTAACTTCTCCGCATTCTTTGATCTCCTTATAAGTGTTTTGTTTGGTTTGATATGGCACAGCAGATCGCGATCGCGATCGCGTCTATTCGGCTTTATGGTATCGGGGCGAGTAAGTGTCCAAGTGTTTCAGGAGAGCACCCTTGGCGATGGCTTCGTTATTTTCGTTTTCGGGGTTCAAGGTGTAAGGTGGTGATGAAGGAGCAGCAGGGTAGGTAGTTTCGGCGAGATACCTGAGCTATGGGACTCGGAGAAATCAATCTAGAACCTGAGACTAGCGTGCTTTTTACCTAACCTCAATGTATCCCACGCCACACACACTCAGCTCGCAGGTGCGAAGGAAAGGAAAGACTTGATGGCCAGCGAGTTCCCGTTCACCAAGTCACGAATACGGGTCGAGAGTACACCGTGCATACAAGGCTAGAACCTCAGTGCACTACCTTAGTTCCTTTCTTTTCTTAGCTTGCCTGTACGAATATGTACATACTGTGTAGGCCCGAGTTGGGCCTCGCAGTTGGATGGATATCCCGTACGTACGGTTCCCCTTGCGATCCATGTGAGCCCTTGGACCTCGGTGACCTCTTCCAACGAGTCAATGACCATCGTTGATTCGGTGAAATATCTCTTGCACATGTCATGAGTTTTTTTACTTCTCTGGAGTACGAGTCGGTTGCCCGAGTGAGAGACCGAGTACATGTTCACTATACATAGCAGGTGCTTGGCATAGCCGTGCAGGGTGGGCCTTGGGAGCATTTTAGGACGAAAAGCTCCCCATTGTCAGGCCTGTCAATTATACGTTTACCCCGGATTCTGGCCCGCGAGGCAAGAAAAGAAGCATGGACTCGGGGGAAGTGGGAGAGTGGAACCAAGCAGGAGCTAAAGCACCGGCAGTCCAGCGGTAGTCAAGATAAGGTAGCTCGGCCCTGACACGAGTCGTCCGCAGTGGCGGGAACCCACCCGGCCGACAGCATGTGTTCCGAAGTGATCACAGCGTAGAAGCTAGCTTAGGGGACGCACTCGTGATGGTCGCCGCAGCCGTCCTGTCAAACCCAGTGCCAGCGCGCCATCGTGAATAGATCGTCGTATAGCCAATTCAAAGTCATCCTGTCCGCCAGTTTGCATGTGAATGCGCTTCTACCTGGATGTGGTAATTATGCTGTGACCCTCAATCGTTTCACGCATGGTTGCTCAGCAACCATTGTTGTAATCTACACTCCAAAGCATGTCGTCGTCCGCACCGTTGCACGGGTGACGGCCGTGTCGTGCGTGCAGCCGACCCGCAAGCACTGATACTGCACGAGTCGCGGGGCGGCGGGTTGCGGAAGGGATCCATAGTCGCGGTTACCTTATTTCAGAGCAACGTTTCCTTCTGTCAAGGCTGCGTGCAGATCTCAGCTTGACAGAGTCAGTTCAGTGGAGTTGAGCTATCCACTTGGCCACGGGAGGCGCCTTCCGTTCGTCTTCCTAGCTTGAACATGAAACGGCGGCAGAGCGGGTAGCTCTTATCTCAGATATTGCCACCATCAAGGCTACATATCATTGGCAGCATACGTCTACAAGGCAGACCGCTGTTGTTGACGGATGGAGTGTGGCTCGGTGAGAAGCCATGCACAGTCGAGGCTGTCAAGGTAGGCCACGAGAGTGCACACAGGTTCTACATGGAACCGGGTGAGGCTATCTTGCAAGGCTGCCTGGTCCGTACCATGGCAGTTCTGGCACGTCAACATTGGGTGTGATGTGTCACTCCTGCTGTGCGCTCTGCTAGTATGCGCTGGTGTCATGTTCTCACGACGACCTCTGTCACGATATCACTGCTGTATCCCTAGCTATTGGCTTGTGGTGTATTTTCTCTGAGAGTGGAACTAATACACGGTATCCCTTTTATTTCTAGGTGTTAGCCGAGATGCCTTGATTGACGCAAGGCTCTCATTCCCTAGTCCCATGACATTGCCCGAACATCCAGCCCACCGGTATCTCGCTGTTAATCGTCCCAGGACCTGAAAAACAATAGGCCCGCCAGTTACCTAGAGGTAACCGACGGACTTTCCGGCCTGTATCTCCAAGACAGACGCCTTGGCGGGTCATATCTGGGCGCCTGCAAGGCGCTCATGAAGCAATGCGTTCTCCAACTGAGACAGTTGATGAACCTCTTATAGGTGTTCATTGGCCAGTTGCCCTGTGAGGGTAAATACCTATTTACTTCGCTCAAATACACGACTTCTGAAGCAATCCCTCATCCTGAGGAGCAAGTAGCCCGCCCTCTCCGTGTCTCGGACCGACGAGTGTTCGATGCGCGCCGTCACCAGCTGTAGAAGGCTACCTTAGTGTTCTATTTCTGTAAAAGACCTAGTGAAGGTTGAGTGAGACCCTAACTTGTTATATCCCACCACTAAACCAGCAGCGCTTCGCGCCAGAGCGATTTATGATATAAACTGGTATATTAAATTCAACCATGAAGATGCCACGAAAGTCAACACTCGCAGCCCGTCCCTGCCCTGCGAAATCCATCACCGTCTTTTCGAATTTCCCAGCCACCGTCTTTTTTGAAATTCCTGCAGAGTCAATCATTTAATTCCTCGCCCAAAGCGCATCCAAACACTCGGTGCGCAGAGCCAGAGGGCGGGTTAGTCCTAACCTCACCGGCGCATATGATCAGCTCCACGGGCCATTGTCAACAACAACCAGTAAACAAGTCACTTTGGCGGAGTGGTTAACGCGCTGCCCTGCTATGTACACTAACTACCAGCTGGTGGGTTTAGCGGATCAAGGCAGTTCCCTCGGGAGCGTAGGTTCGAATCCTACAGGTGACGTTGGCATTGGAATCTTTGTATTCCATTATTTTTGCCCTGCACCCGTAGGAAGCTGACCAGTTAGGCCGGGCGGATGGTAACGCAAACCAAAACAAAAGAGAAAAGGGGTATCCCAAGTAATCCCTCCCCATGACACCCGTCCACCACCCACAACATCACACTATTTTTGCTATTCATCGTAAACACCGAAACTCATCAAGAGACTAAGAAAGTCCCATGAAAGCATCAGAATCATTCCTCTTATCCACCACTTGACACATCCATTACCGACTGACCTCTAGGCTCATAGGGACAACCCACCAACCCTGTATCTACTCCGCGACGGCCACCTTCGTGCGAGCAGATATAGACCTCTAGATCAATCCCGATCCGCAGGTTATTACTGTGGTAATGCCGATGAAGCCATGGCAATGTCAAGGAAGGGATAGGATGAGAGAGCGGAAAGGGTATCGCCATATAAGGCCAGCGTCATCGAGAGTGAGACTCCACCGCCGGTACGGAACCCTACACTCTAGACCAAGCCTTAGTCTCATGCTAATACACCCTACATGGGCACCGTACATATGGTCTAGAGTCCGAAACTACCCGTACCAGTATCGGATAGGTACCCAGGTACAATACAATTGTATACCTGTAATCTAGTCCCCGACCTCCACAGTCGTTACCGGTCCCTAGGTAGCTATCTACCTAGACTCTAGTCGTAGTTCCAAGTCTAATTCGACGTCGACACATGCATGGCTAGGTACGACTGCACATGGTCTAGATTCACAACTACTACTACAACTACAACTTGTACAACTAGTACATCACCTCTGTAAACCCACCTGCGCACACCAATCACACCAACCACACCAACACACTTCAAATACATCTTGCCCGCCTGGAAAGTGGCACATACAGTTTTCACGCATACGACAGGCCCATCCACTCAGCCCTCTTTTCCCGTGTTCACCATCCCCCATCCCAAGCTGACACCTTGTTCTCGAGTCAATGAATCCCCCCACCAGATGCCATCGTACCTAGACGGATAGACAAACCGACAGACAAATAGATAGACAGACAGACAGATAGACACATACACCTACCAAAGTTTGCGCAACGCGCATAAAATAACCAGCATGTCGCCCGTTTCAAATGAGCCCGTCAAGACACCCACGCAGCAGACACAACCCCAGCGAGCCAAGGTCACGCAAGCCGCACCCGACATCCCCACCAGGAGTACCATCACACACCCACTCCCTCGAACAAGCCCGTAGAAAAACATATCAAACCTCCTTCCGAGCGAGACCCCAGCGGCACTGCACCGACAAGCCGAGAAACCAAGACACGGAAGCACCGGACGGTCAACATACGCTACCCACCCATCCGCCCACCGATCCACCCACCCTTCACCCCTTTCTCACCACCTCCACCCTAGACCTAGACTACAGCTGCTACGAACCGAGTATAGGTAGGCAGTATACAGTATGCTACATGACACACCCGGCCGAGCGAACGGACCAACGAACGCTACACCAACAGATCCAAACCCGAGCCGAGTCCGCCCCGAGCCCGAACATCCCTTCCCTTCCTTCCCTCCGTCTGCCCCGTTCAGCTAAACGACTTACCGCTTCGATGAAGGCCCCACAAGCAGCACATCACAAGCATTTCAACCCAGTAAGGCAAAGAAAAAAGGTATCAATTCAGCTCAGCTCAGCGCACGCCGCCCTGTCATGACTACGTTCCATCCATCCCATCCCATTCCATCCCGCCCCGTTCGTTCATTCCCCACATCTCTCGGTATATACATCCACCACCCAAGATACTGCGTCCAAGAGCCGATGATTCAGCACCCCATCGGCATCTCGTCCTCTTCGACACCATCACCACACCTCAAAAGCAGAGCATGGCCTCCGCTCCCAAAACCACGTGCGAAACATGTCCGGCGACCGGACCGCCGATCTCACCCTCCGCATCCGCTCCCGCTCCCGCTTCATCTGTTCAAAAAACTCCACCGCCCGGCGGACGAAGCCGTCCTCGAAGCAGCACCACAAACCGGTCGTATTCGACTCATTACTCGCCTAGATGATAATGAGCTGTCCCAAAAGTTAGCTTGTAGCCCCGGGAACGATATTACAAGAGACCTACTTCGATCAACTTCTCCGTGAGCCCGAAGCACTGCTTGTCTTGGTCCTGCGACAGGTTGAACGAGCACGACCGCCACAGCCCGTCGAAGCCCATATCGTCCAGCCTCTCGCTCAGCATGCCCGGTGTCTCCATGGCCGTCGAGAACTTGGGATTGCTTGTCAGCGTCTGCAGCAGCCTATGTGCCGACTCGAGCGTCGCCGGGTTCTGGCAGTGCAGCAGGATATCATCCAGGATCGTGATGATCGGGCCGCACAGGTGCATAATCACAGCCGGTCTCGTCCCCGCCACCTCGTTGAGCCACTGGAGTGTCCGGTTCTGAACCGCATCGTCCAGGTACTGAAAGTCAACCAGCTCGATGGCCGTGTTTAGCAGTAGATCCTTGTCCTCGACAGCATCCACGTCCTGCGATGCCATCCTCAGCTTGCCGATATCCGCCAAGCCGGTGGGGTTGATGCCAGCCGACCACAAGCCATCCCTCAGCTCCTCGATGCTCGTTGCTCTTGCGAGCATCAAGGTCATGTACGGGGAGGCCGCAAGATCCCTGATGCTCTTCTCTGTGGGCTCTGGCGTCCATGTTGTCATCTCCAGGAACGTCGACAGAACCCGCATCGCCGTCGCCTTGGTCACCGTGTCCGTCAGGCCGCGCACCAGACACGCGCAGGCTGCAAAGTGAAAGTTCTTGCCGTTGAAATGTATCCCGTACGCTTCATCCAGCGGTCCCGCGGCCTTCTCCAGCTGTGCCCGACCCTCCAGCAAGTGAGTCACCATGCTTTCGCCTCGCATATCGCCCGACGTGCTGATGTTGGACAGCACCGATTCGAGGAACAAGGCTGTGCAGTTGAACAGGTTCGGCGGTACCAAGCGAAGCAGCGACATGGCTAGCCAGAACAGTTGGAGTCCGTAGCGTGAGGCCGACGGTAGCTTGGCCATCATCTTGGAGAGAGACGTTACTATGGCCACAAGCATGTCGCTGTTACTGTCATCCCCAAATCGACCCACGCTGTTCCGGAGCGCTACCAGCACCTGGTAGAGCAAATCGTCGTCAACCTCCTCTCTTGCCAGGCATCCCATGACTGTAAACGCCCGCGGCTGGATGGCCGGGTTGTTCTGGAACGCCGTGCTGGCGACGAGACTCATCCACCGCGAGCGCCACGCGTTGGCGACGTCAACCGACGGCGCAGCCACCGAGCACGTCTCGAAGAGAAGGGTTGCCAAGTTTTCAGTCGCAGACAGTGTCGGCCCAGCGTCCTGGTTTGTCGAGATGGACGCCCCGTCACGCGTAAAAGCCATCGCGTGCGTGAAGACTTCGCTCCTCGGATCGGAAAGCGTCTCCAGCGTGGCCCTCAGCTTGTTCAGCCTCGCCTCGTCGAGCGCAAACGACGTGCACGCTGAGTGGATCGAGTTGATGAGCAGCCTGTGCACCACCACTCTCACGTCGGAGGATCCCGTGTTCGCAAGCATCGTGACGACGTGGAAGATTTCGGGCAGGTACAGCTGCGACTGGACGCCACTGTCAAAAGATAGCGCCAAGCAGAATTGCAGCAGCACGCAGATCTCATTCCACACCGCGTTGTCCGGAAGATACTTGGTCGGTCGCAACGAGGACCGGTTGAGAGCCTTTCGCAGTCTTGAAATCACCTTGCCGCGCAGCGTGATCGTTCCGATGGCGCTGGCAATTGAAGTCAGCGTCTCCGTTTGCTCATCCATGAACCCGATGCTGAGCGCTGTCTTGATGATCTCCTCCAAGAAGATGTCTAGGAGGACCTCGTCTTGATATATCACGGGCCAAACCGACTGCTCCAGTGTGAAGTTGAGTGTTGGATCGGAAAGCGTCACATCGATGAGCTTCCTGAACAAGGCCGCGATCTTTTCCCTGCCCTTGTCGCTCTCCGGTTCGTTCGCCAAGAGGGATGTTCGCAAGCCGGGGATCCAGGGCGCCATGTAGGCGAGGCTCAGCGGCTTCTGCTCGTCCGAGAAGCTGTCCCAGCCAACGAAAAACTCGTTCAAGAAGTCCGACGTCAGCTGTGGCTCGTCCTGGGCAAGTTTCCTGCTAATTTTTACGATGAACTGCGACGGATCAAGGGGTACCGAGATGTCCTTGGTGGCCATCAGCTGCGACGCTGCCGTGAATTTGAACGCTTTGCAGAGCGCCCCGAGCAGATTGTAAGAGGACAGCCTCAAGACTGCATCCGGGCTCGCAAGATTGGTTAGTGCCAAATTCAGCAACGTCCCCGGCACGTCTTGTGGCCTGATAAGCCGCTCAAACGACTTCATCGCCCTTGTGTCCTTGCCGTACTTTGCCTTGGCGGCACGGATCGCCTGCAGGACATCTGCTTTCTTGGGGCTTGTAAAGTACATAACAATTTTGCCGTTGTCAGCCCTCAGCCCAAAGGCCGAGTCATCCTCGGTCTGTATCGAAGTCGGGGCCTCGTCCACGTCGCCGAGCCGGAAAATGTCGTTAACAGTTGTGCTCAGCCGGAACCCAGGAACTTCCTGCTTCTTGGTCGTCGTCACCTGTACAAACTGGCTTCCGACCTTGATCATGACCTCGATCTTGCCTTTGGACTTTGACAGACGCGTGATGGGCTGGAAGACGTAGCGGGTATCCGTGACGACGCTGATGGTTTCCTTAGGAAGGTGTAGTTGACTCAAGTGAAAGTGAGCTTGCAAGTCTTGTAAGCTCCCGATCAGGTGATACTCAACGTTCCGAGGATTGAAGACGCTGTTGTCGTTCTTTGTCGAGAAGCGCAGAATACGACGGAAGCACTTCTTGCAGGCGCTGTTCATGTTGTAGATATAGACACGTGACAGCTGTCGCGAGAGCTCGCTGGGCGTGAGCTGTTCGAGGAGCTGGAACAACTCATCCTGCGGCT